ATTTTGTACATGAGTTATTGCCAAGTTTTTGGAAGTTGCCTTGGCTAATCTGGTTTAGATGACCAACATATTTGACAAGTGTAGTGTTACGAGATACTCACATATTTTTATAGCTCGTAACACAAGGCAGGGATATCTTGTTTCTACATTCATGAATTGATGTAGCTATTAACATTAATCAAATTGGGATATATATATTAAAACTTAATAACCAAAGTCATTAAGTATAGTGATAGCAATAGCAATATGTTAATAATAATGGCACAGTAAAGTAGTGCAATATGTTAATAATAATGGCGCAGTAAAGTAGTGCAATATGTTAATAATAATGACACAGTAAAGTAGTAGTTAAACAGGAGGCTATAAAGCCTTGTATTATTTATTTGTTTTATTTATCAATGTAGAATTCTAAAAAACAATTCCGACCCATATTACAACAAAGTGGTACGTTACAGGCAATGCACCAAAAGTTACTTCTGTTTGGTGATTTGCAACTCATGACTAATTTTTTTTGGTTTGCTAACTAGAAATATCACTGGCAAACTTCTCAGTTTTTTTCCACTCTACAAAGTGGTCCCCAGGTTCTAACCGCTGATTAGTGAGCTCAAAATGCTTTGTAACTTTTATCCTTTTTGATTCTTTTTTTTTTTCTATGCTATTTCTTAGTTTAACTTTACTAGTATCATTAGCAAAGTTTACAAGAGCCCAAACAAGCTTAAGACGGAATTTCTTATACTCTTGTATTATTCCTAGAGTTTTAGCTATGCAGTATGAGTTGATGATTGCAGTGTCCAGTAACCAAAAAAACAGTGCTATCCAATTTCTACATATCATTTTTTGCATGCTGTAATAGGATCATAACTAGTCCACAATATCTACATCATTCATATTATTATTGTAATCATCAACAATCTTAGGAATTTTTAAATTCTTTTTGAATTCAAATCCAAACACAGCACGCACCTGAGTAAGTATTGAATAATAAATAAGTAAAAAAAAAAAAAAGATAAATAATAAATATGTAAAAATAAAAATAAAAAATAAAGATAAAAATAACAAGAAATAAAATAA